ATTAGCAATCTAACAATTACTAAATTAAGAAAATAATTAGAAAGTGTGGATATCGACTATTTGAATTTGTTCTATGTGCGACAAGTGTTAGATTTCAAGTTCACCATAGTTATTTTCTTAATACCAATTATCAAATTCCGACAACAATTAATTCTGTGTATCAATCGAATTCTCAAAATTAATTAATTTACATCTCTCGAGTTCAAACCAATTAAATCAACTCACAATCTCTATTTGAATCTAGATAAGCCTTAATTAAGCTTCAGTCATAAAGGAATTCAATTAAGAATTACAAAGTTAGTGAAAGTGTATTTCTACCTTTTACCTAAATTCCGATTTTTACTTCATGGTATAACAAATAACTTACCTTTTGATTCGTTACTCTTCAATAATCAACGAAATAATAACCAATTATTTCAAAGCATGAAGAATTGAGGTAAAAGCAATACACAATAATCAATTGAGAATCAAAAATTTGAATATAGAAATTTAGGGTTCAAACTATGTTACCCTAACTAAGAATTTAGTTACAAGTATCAATCAAAGAACACATCACCAAATTGAAGTACATAATCGGGTTATGAAATTGTATCGGATAACCTAAGAATAACTAACTAAGGCCGGGGTGAATAGGTTTTTAAAATGTTTTCAAAAAATTAATCAAAATTCAAGCAAGTAAAGACTAAATAGATTAATTTAAATAATAAGCGCAAATATGAAAGCGATAAGTAAAAGGGAATTAATGATGCAAACGATATAATTGTGGATGTTTGATCCAAAGCAATAATCTACGTCCTCGGTTACTAAACTCTCTGATAGAAGCAAGACATTTTTACTATATTGATTGACTTATGGTACAATCTAACATTTTACAACGCTTTTGACGACTTATAAATAAGGAGTACCGATCCTTATACAATATTGAGCTTTACGTAACCTCAATATGACCCACACAATGACTTACAACAAGGAACATTGATTCTTATACTATTGAGCTTTCACGAGACCTTAACACGACCTACAAATTTAGAGTAAATGATTTTACAATGAAAACTCTCTCTTAATAAATGATACAAATGAATTAAGTATTAAGAAAGACTAATACTTCAATGAATAGTAATAAATGATAGTTGAAGTGTTGGATGAAATACTTTGATATATATGATAATAGAAATTTGATTCAATCAATTAAAAATTTTCAATGAGAAGATGACGAAGAAATAAATGTAATGTAAGTTCAAAGATCTTTTTCAAAATATGTCTCTCTTTTATGAGTAATAGAAATAAGTTAAGTACAAAATGAGAGATAAAAACTTTTGTTGAAGAGGATGATTAAAGAGTTTGAATCAATTAAAGTTTTTAATATAAATAAATAAATGAAAGAATGCAAATGTAAGCTTAAAGAAATCTCTTTAACGATATCTCACTTGATACTCTTGAAGGATGTTATAATGAATGCAAGAAATAGAGGTATCAATAGAATTCAAAATATCAAAAAATTTGTGAGTTCGGATGACTCGTCGGTTGACTGCCTTTTGTTCGGATAACCAATATATCTGTTTATACAGTAAAAATCAGCGGTTATAAAATTTTGGATCGTTGAAAACTTCCGATCAACCGTCTCTTCTGGCCAGTCAACTGCCCTACAGTTTCTGTCTTTTTACGTTTTCGTACCGCTTGATCCAATTCGAAAGTTTTGAAGGGCACTAAAAGTCATTTTTATATTTGATCAAAACATTGAATGACTTTTAATGTACAAAATTATTTTCTAATGCATAGAATGATTTTGAGGTTGAGCATTCATTGCCAAATATCAAATTGTTAGTACCTTTACACTTTATCTAAGAAATCAAATATTTGATTTTGTTCCGAAATTTGGCTCTTAAGTTCTTGAATGTGTGACTTAGATCTTAACCTTCTTCATGAGTCCGATTTGTGATGAAAGTTTATTTTCTATCAGTGTGTTATTGGTAGAATTCTTAGTGAATTTTGATATTTTGATGACCATTGATCAATTTTTCATCATATGTTTTGAAAAACTATAATCACTTGAATTCAACGTGTTAATAAATAAGATTAACTTGTTTGTTATAATTAAACTTTAAAGTTATAATCAACCATA